AGTTCGTTTTTTCGATTTTTCTCACTAAAGTTTTTTGGTGAACGTTTAGTTTATTAAAATTCAAAATAAACTTATTTTTCGAATTCATGCTGCAAATAAGGCCATATTTCGATTCCGAATGAATCATCATCAGTGCTCCTTGCTGTATATATAGGGAAATATTGACTTTGTCAAGATGAACTTTGACGTTGTAAAAATTAACTTTGGTGTTGTAAAATTGAACTTTGATGCGAATTATGTGTCAGGTTTCTTTATTGGCTGGTCATCTTCTTTGGTCTCCCCTTCTTCATTGATAGCATCATATTTTTTCACTTTGTCACTATTTAGGTAAAAACTGGCAAATAGGACGCCACCTACCCTGGACAGCTGGAGAATGAAACATTCAAAAACAATGCAAATTTAAAACCAAATATCTACGCCAGATACGTGGATGATATCTTTGTCTCCTATAACGATCCTGAACAAATCACCCAACTTCTTGGTACCTTAAACTAATCAAAACTGAGATTTACCATTGAAAGTAAAAAGGAACAACGTTTACCTTTCCTCGATGTGATGGTCACCCGTGGCGAAGAACGATTCAAAACCACGGTCTATGTCAAAGAAACGAATACAGGAATTTGTTTGAATGGACAAAGTGAATGCACTGAACAATTTAAAGACAGCACAATAAAATCATTTGTGAATCTGGCATTCACACACTCTTCCGATATTGAAAATCGCGACGCTGAATTAAAGAGAGTCACTAACCTGCTTGTAAACAATGGATATAAGACTTATTCTATTGAAAAGATTGTTAAAGGCAAATTACTACACAGCAATAACCTTCCTAGTACCAACAATCAAGATAACGACATCATCTTGTATTACAGAAATCACATGTCAACTGCATACAAGGTAGATGAAGCTATTCTTAAACATATCATCAATAAAAATGTCACACCAACCAACCCAAATAGTTAAGTTAAACTCCGAATTTATTACAACAATAAAAAGACGTCTCACCTAATACTGAAAAACAACTGCAGTCCTAAAGATAACACTGAGTTAAAGCGTAATCACGTAATATATGAATTTAATTGCCCCTTTGACGGCTGTGCACGTCAACATGACTCATATATCGGGATTACTACTACCTCACTGACTAGAAGGCTTACGATGCATAAACAGAGTGGTGCTATCAAATCTCATTTGGACTCAACACACTCAATCACAATTAGCCGTGAAATCCTCGACAGCAACACCAAAGTAATATACCAGAACAGCAACTACACGCATCTTAAAATTGCAGAAGCAATTGCACAACAAAAAATGACAACCTCACTTCCAACCCGGCGCTTAACCAACAACGAAAACAAAGAAATAATAAAAACTAGCATTGTAAATAGTGACAAAGAAGAATATGATGCTATCGATGAAGAAGGGGAGACCAAAGAAGCCAATAAAGAAACCTGACACCTAATTCGCATCAAAGTTCAATTTTACAACACCAAAGGTAATTTTTACAACGTCAAAGTTCATCTTGACAAAATCAATATTTCCCTATATATACAGCAAGGAGCACTGATGATGATTCATTCGGAATCGAAATATGGCCTTATTTGCAGCATGAATTCGAAAAATAAGTTTATTTTGAATTTTAATAAACTAAACGTTCACCAAAAAACTTTAGTGAGAAAAATCGAAAAAACGAACTACAAACATATTAACGCCAAACATTCGGTAGAATTTATAGAATATTGTAAAAATTATGGTCTATTACCAACACACACACACACACACACACACACACACACACACACATATATATATATATATATATATATATATATATATATATATATATATATATATATATATATATCAAAGATTTAAAAGTTAATTTACAAAAGAAAAGTAAATGAATAAGTTAATAATAATCTATCCGTTTTGTTTTCCACTTGTTTTAGTTAATATTTAATTTATATGATTTAATAATAATCTATCCGTTTTGTTTTCCACTTGTTTTAGTTAATATTTAATTTATATGAACAAAGCCGGTATTAGAAACCATATAAGCGGACGATCACTCAATCAATCAATCAATCAATCACTCAGTCAATCGACCAATCAATCAATCAACCAATCAATCAATCAATCACTCAGTCAATCGACCAATCAATCAATCAACCAACCAATCAATCAATCACTCAGTCAATCGACCAATCAATCAATCAATCAACCAATAAATCAATCAATCAATCAATCACTCAGTCAATCGACCAATCAATCAATCAATCAATCAATCAACCAACCAATCATTCAATCAATCAATCAAACAATCAACCAATCAACCAACCAATCAATCGATTGATAGGTACATTTATCAACTCCAACATCATCTAGCGTCAAGAAGAAAAAAAAACGACATCTTGTAAATCTCTAAAACCGGCAACATCCTCGTCATTCATCGCAATGATCTCCGACTCGTGACGTCATCTCAATGATCTCTGACGTCATCGAGGACGTTCTGCGACAAGGAGGCTGACGACGGCGAGGCGTTGCTGTACTCCTCGATAGTCTGAAGTATGGTGTCCGTACTGTATTTGCAGTTGCGAGAGCCACAAGTGCACGTGAACTGCTTCCACTTTATGGACCAGAACTTGTAGCCGTAGTCAAATCTAAAGACGTGAATGACGTCATCGTGATGTCATAAGGTGATGATGTTGTGATGGTTCGGTAGTTTGATGGTGACTAAGGAAGAAGATAATCGTATTTTGACGTAATGATGATGTTAACAATCACATTAACTCATGTAGTACTCACTCAGTCATTCATCCATTATGATGTACCAATTATTATTACATCACCACATGATCACTCACTCACTCACTCACTCACTCACTCACTCACTCACTCACTCACTCACTCACTCACTCACTCACTCACTCACTCACTCACTCACTCACTCACTCACTCACTCACTCACTCACTCACTCTCTCACTCATTCATTCATTCATTCACTCACTCACCCTAATTCATCAAAGGCCTTGATGTCTTTACTGGCGAAGAAGCAAATTCGTGGAAACCTCAGATCATGGTGGTCGACAAACACCTGGTCACGGTAATGATCGTGAAAATGATGATGATGATGAAGGTGGTGGTGGTGATGACGACGACGATGATGATCATTCGTTCATCATATTTCACCAAGTGACGATGTCGTTGATGATGATGACGACGATGAAGATAGGAATGAACATAGTCATAAGATGACACCATGACGTCACGTCGTGAGTGAGTGAGTGAGTGAGTGATTATGTGATGACGTCCTAACCTTGACGGGCTTGACGTTGGGTTCACAGAGGTGATTGATGAATCTGCTAACATTACCGAACTTCGATGCGTCTATGCAATAAGTTTCCTCATCCTGTGGATGATGGTTGTGATGATGACGATGGTGGTGATAGTGATAACGTGATAATGATGATGATGGTGATGAGTAAGAGTTAATGATGACGACGACGACGATGATGATGATAAAAATAGGTGACCTGAGTGTCAAGGTCAAACAAGTACGAATCATCCTCTCTCCTGTTGGCTTCTTCGTCTGTTATCAACTCGCCAGCGTACCTCGAAAGATTCCATCATTGTATTGTTTTTAATTTTTTCACATATTCTCACGTGTAGTATTTAATCAAATAAAAATATTAATAATATATAAATAAATAAATAAAAAATAATAATATATAAATAAATAAATAATAATAATAATATATAAAAAAATAATAATGATGATGATGACTGACTCGCATACAAACGTCCCTTTGGAGATATTCTTCAAGGTCCTACAGCCCCAGCCACGACCATTCGTTCTGAAGACTTGTAAATAATTTCTGGGGAAGAATGAAAATATGGATGGATAGTGATTGATTAGTGAGTGAAATGAATGAATAGGTGGATAGATAGATAACCTGATAGATATATAAGCCGACAGATAGATAGATAGATAGAAAGACAGACAGACAGACAGACAGACAGACAGACAGACAGACAGACAGATAGATAGATAGATGAATGGATAGATAGATGTGAAGAATAGATAGATGTGAAGAATAGATAGATGTGAAGAATAGATAGATGTGAAGAATAGATAGATGAATGGACTGACGGATGGATAGATAGATAGATAGATAGATAGATAGATAGATAGATAGATAGATAGATAGATAGATAGATAGATAGATAGATAGATAGATGGATGGATATATTATGTATGTAGGTCACCACGGCACGTACGTACATCGTTCCTGATTGGATGACTCGGTTATGGCAGGACGAATCACAGATGCAGAGAATATTACATTCGTATATAAGCGGCGGATCGAGGTAGTTGAAATCTTCCGTCAATCTTCCAGACTGTCAATGGTGGTAATGATGATGATGATTATGACGATGTTGATGACGTCATTCACCGATGACGTCACTGAGTCACGTGTCGTTGTAGTTGTTGTGAATCGCGCAAGCGTTTTTTACTAGCTAAAAAGTAAGCCCTTCTAGTCTGGTATCGTTGCAAGCAACGATAAAAACCTTTCATCGTCATCATCACAACCATCACCATCATCATCATCATTCCACCACCATCATCATCATCATTCACTTACATTATCATACCATCTCTTGCAACTGGCTCTGGAGCAAGAACATGCCGATGATGACGTGCAATTATCAGAACATTTGCAATGCTGTTACGTTGTGTGTGTGTGTGTGTGTGTGTGCACGTGTGAGTCAGTGAGTGAGTAGAAGGATGATAATATGATTAACATCAGCATTACTAGCACTATTATTACCGTTTATCTATATATAAATATTTATTTATTAGTTAATTAATCAGTGAGTTTTAAGAATGTACGGCAGGTATTTCTACAAAAATATATTATCTTCTTACTCATCATCATCATCCTCATTTTACTCATCATCATAATCATCATCGACATCTTAATCCTCATCATCATTATCATCACCATCATTGTCATCATCATCTTAATCATCATCATCATCATCATCTTAATCATCATCAGTACCTTAAGCGAAGTGACCAGCTTGTTGACGTTGATGGGACTGGTTTCAACGTATCCAGATATGTAGATGAAGTCGTTGGGTAGGACCTCATCGTCCACATGGTTGATGACCATTATGGGTCGGAGTTCACGACCTTTCGATATATCTCTGAATGAAAAATGGCGAGTGAGGATGATGATGGAGATGAAGATGATGATGACGAAGATGATGATGATGATGGAAATAAAGATGATGATGAGAAATGTTAAAATGTGAGAAAAAAAAGAATTTTAGTAAATATACTATGACCATTTTTAACGAGGCATATACAAACCAACTCATCAACAACCAATCAGCAACAACCTAGCCAATCATCAGCCAGTAACAATCAACCGATCAACCAACGAGCGTTAGCCGACCCAACTATCAACCAATCAGCAATCAGCACTTACTGACCTACAGACGGTCCTGGCGTATGCACGGACGGGAAAACTTGAGATGAGCTTCAAGTGCCTAGCTGTCAAGCAGTTCTCATCTGGACAGCACTTCAGTATGTACAAAAAATTAAAATAAACGAAATAATTGATTGATTGATTGATTGATTGAATGAATGAATGAATGAATGAATGAATGAATGAATGAATGAATGAATGAATGAATGAATGAATGAATGAACGAATCTGTGAATGAAGGAATGAATGAATTTATGAATGAATCAATAAAGAAAGAAAGGAATGAATGAACGAACGAACGAATGAAAAAAACGAAGTAACCTGTAACGGTATATGGCCAGCGTTATTCAGCAGATTGACTTTGGCCTTCCTACCCATGAACAACATTATGCAGTCTAAATGATCTTGTCTTGCTGCTATGTGCCTGTCAATCGATTGATGAATGAGTGAAGAACGTCATGATGAGTAAAATGAGGATGATGATGAATGAATGAATGAATAAATGAACGATCGAATGAACGAACGAATGAAAGAATGAATAGAACGTACATTGGCGTATCTCCATGTTCATTAGCATCGTCTAGTATACAGCCTGCCTCTAAAAACATAACGGACACCTCCTGGTTGCCAGTGTAAGCTGACCAATGAAGGGCTGTGTTCATTTCCTAGGTGATCATTTATTCATTCTTTCGATCATTAATTCGTTCATTCATTCATTCGTTTGTTCGTTCATTCATTCACACATTTACTCCTTCGATCATTCATTGGTTTATTCATTGGTTTATCGGCCTCTCATTTATTCAGCCACTGATCCATTCATTCATCCATTCATTCATTCATTCATTCATTCATTCATTCATTCATTGACAGTTTCAAAATTTAAATGAAGAATGCTGACAACTTCACTAACGTTATCCCTAATTTTAGGATCGGCACCGTGCTTCATAAGGAAGAGGATGCATTCCTTTTGGTTGTGCTCGATCGCCCAGATCAGAGGGGTCCAACCGCCATCATCCTAATTAGCATATTCATGTGTGCAACTATCATCATCATCACTACCATAATCGGCATCACAATCATGACTACCTTGACATTTACGTCAACTTTTTCAGTGTCAAGGAGCTGTTTCAAGACATCTATCTGACCGTGCTTAGCTGCAAAATGCATTGCTGTCATGCCGTCCTGGGCCTGTCAATCATCATGACGTCATTATAATATACTATAATACCACTAATAATAATAATAATAATAATAAGCACAGACCCTAGCATTTAGAGTTGCACCTTTGTCGATGAGTAACTTCAATATGGACAAATGACCTGCCAAAGAAAGAGAGAGAGAGAGAGAGAGAGAGAGAGAGAGAGAGGCGGATTTATTATTATTATTATGAAAATAATTTTTTGAAAAAAAAATCACAATAAAAACAAACGAATAAATAAAACAATTTATTTACGAAAATGTTTATCAAAATAAAAAAAATTAAAAAGAATTTTTTTTCCCAAAAAAATATAACCTGTCTGAGAAACCTCCATCAATGATGTATGGAGATCCTGATCAATTGAATCAACGGAGACAGATGTATTCTGGAGAATAATAATAATAATAATAATAATAATAATAATAATAATAATAATAATAATAATGTGGGCGGGTCTACGGTGAAATGGTCAAGGCGCCTGGAACTGCCCTATCACATGCAATATGTGTGATGATGCGTTGAATCAAGTGTATTTACATACACCCTGTCTGTGTGTGTGTGTGAATGTTTGTGTGTGTGCGTGCGTGTGTGTGTGAATGTGTGTGTGTGTATCGATGACGAGTGACGATACCTCCTGAGAGTTAATCACGAAAGAATTGATAACAGTAACAATTATTATATTATTATAATCTATAATTATAATTATTAAAATAATTATAATTAATGGACGAACTAACATTAAGTAGGAAGTCTACAATCTCGAAGTGGCCATAGTAAGATGCGACCAATAGCGGTGGCTGTGATGAGTCATCAGGGGAGAGGGCTGGGTCAACTCCTTCACCTGCCAGCCAATCAAATTCATCGAAATATATCTCATTAATATTCATAAGAGTCATTAGTTTATCTGTTATTATTGATATTTATCATTGATATTATTAATATTCAGTATTTGTTAGATTTATTAATGAATTAAATTGATAAAAAACACAGGAAACCAGCAGCAGCTGAATCTCACTTAGAATGTAGATGGTCTTATTTAGGTCACCGCTCTTGACAGCTGAACACAACGCTTTTGAAGTTGGTCGAATTTTTTTAAACTTCGAGCTATAGAAATTATTAATTAAATTAATTAATTAATTAATTAGTCGAATAAATAAATAATCAATTAAATAATTAAAGCAAAGGAAATAAAACTTAAAAAAAAATAGCAGAAGATAAATGCCAAAGTACCATCCTTAAATAAATAAAATGATGCACTGCTACCAACCAGTCAACATTGTACGTTATCAGCAGAGTCTTGTAATCAACTTTCTCTGTTATGGTGTAAATGTAAATATATGTATATATATATGAATGAACATATACATACATAAATCTACACATATATGTACAAACCTCTACTCATATGTACAAATCTATACACACATACAAAAATCTGTACACACATACTGCATACATATATGTACAGATAAATGTTAGGTATGTGTATCTTCAAATTTTATTTTAACTGGATAATAATTTTTTTCAGAAAAAAAAGCAGAAAGAAAACAAAAACGTAGAAATAAAAATGATTGAAAAAAAAACAATTCACCATCTGTAGTCAAATTGCTGTGTGTACTTGCCATACTCTCACTACATACGGACCCCTCTCTTATCTTATTGTCCGCATCTCCCTTTCTATAAAATCCAATTCTGGCACTTGCGCTGTGTGTGTTTGTTTGTTTGTGTGTGTGTGTTTGTTTGTTTGAGTTTGTGCGCGTAGGTGTGTATATGTGTGCGCGTTTGTATATCTACATGATTATGTGTATCAATCATTCTATCTAACCTCTTCCAGATGGATGTACTATCACTAAAAATCCCATTACCTCCACTGTTGTCACCACGGTTAATGTTTTCACTGATAGCATCAATAACATCAATAGATTTAATACCTGTCCTATCACTGTTTTTGTCAACAGTATTAATGTCATCGTTAGCGTTGTTAATGTTGCTAGCGTTGTTTAGTTTTATTTGCGATTGTATGGATGGAACTTTGTATCCAAGAGGTCTTAGCTTGATGTTGTAGACATTTATTTCTTGCTGGTTGGATTCTTTAAAGCAGTGCGGGCAGTGCGTGGTGTTGTTAGTACTGATGACGTGGCAGTTTTTGTGATATCTATGCGTCGTTGCTCTCACTGTTGTAGGGAATGTCTGTGACGTCATTTCCGCCGATGTCTTAAGGGTTGTAGTTACAGTTGCGGCTTCGGCAGCTGCTGTTAGCGTCGTCGACGCGATCTGAGAAAGTGATGACGTTTGAGGCGAATCAGATGACATTGTAGTTGTAACATCTGACGTGTTGTCATCTTCTTTGGTGTTGTTGATGATGTTGGTGACATTATCATCATCGACGTTATTGTTGTTGTTGTTGCTGCTGTTGTCGATGTCAGTGACACTGTCTTCAACTTTGATGTGAATGTTGATGTGATTATCGATATCGTTGTTGATGCCGGTGACAATTTCCTTCTTGACGATGATGTTGTTGATGTCAAGATCATTTTCGTTGTTGTTGTCGTTAGCAACACTGTTGTTGTTGTTGTTGTTAGCAACACTGTTGTTGTTGTTGTTAGCAACACTGTTGTTGTTGTTGTTGTTGTTAGCAACACTGTTATTACCGTCGTTGTTATCGTTACAAACGATATTGTTGTCGTTGTTGTTAGTTAATGTGAGGTCGTCGTCACTGCATGTTAGCTCATCAGTTGGTCGACATTCAAAGAAACTTCCCTGGAGAAACATATACAAAGATTGTTATTTATATATAAACCATTCATTCATTCATCCATTCATACCTGTATTAATTCATCCAGCTATCCATCTATACAATTGAAACGAAACGAAACGAAATAATTTATTTGACCTCAATAAAGAAAATAAGGTGCAGGTTGACTGTGAGGAGTTAGTATCAAACTCATCGAGCACAGCCACCTAAGCCAAAAACTTCAGATGTTACTAATTGATTACAAAAATAAAATCATCGGGCACACCCATCAAACAAAAAGCTTCAGAATCTCTAAATGTTATATATTAAGTTCACGTTGTTACTAGTTGTTCGTAAAAATAAAATTATCGAGTACCACAAAAAACTTCAGATTCTCTAATTGGTGTATATTATATTTACGGTGTTACTAACTGTTCATAAAAATATTATCATCGTGCACCACAAAAAACTTCAGATTCTCTAAATGGAATGTATTAGCTTTGAGATGTTACTAATTGATCCTAATAATAAGTTAGGTCTATATTTCTCTATATACAAAACTGCATATAGAATACCTGATTGAATCTATCTATATAAGCTATAGATAGAAGAGAATAGGATCACATACGTATATAAAAATATCTACGTACACATCAGCACATACATACAGTTGCGCTTACATGATGTCATAAACATTTTATAAAAATGTAATTTATATTCTTAAAACTAGTGATTTTAATTAATCAAACTAATAAATGCTTTCAAATGATATTTAAAGTTCTGCAT